AAGTTTAGTTTATGGCAGGTGTGGGGAACATTTATTGGGTCAGGGACCATTGATCCACAGAAAAATCAGTTGGGGACCACAGAAGTGAGAAACAAAAGAACTACAAGCCCCCCAACCTCACCAAGATGACCCCCAACTGAGACACCTCATTCCTCTTGCGTTCCAGCCCCAACTTTTCTGGAAGATTTTATGGAGCCCCCTTCGTTTCTGAGTTGGGGACACCCAGAGGGGTTCAGTATGTGTGACAGGGCCACCAGAGAATGGGATAGGGATGGGGTGCAGGATCTGGGATAGAGGTGGGGAGCAGAAGAGGGAAAGGTTGCAAGGTCTGGGTGGCAGGTAGGGTGCAGAAACAGGCTGGGAGTAGGGTATCTGGCTGGGGGAGGGCGCAGGAGCAAGGGAGGGTGAAGTGTGTGGCAAAGAAGGAGGCTGCAGGAGGAACGGTGGATGCATAAGTGGACTTGGGCTAGGTCTACCCTATCAGATTTTTTTCCGAAAAAGCTACGCAAATTGCGCTCCACAATTTGCGTAGCTTTTTCTGATTGTTTTTCCGGAAAAGCCTCCTCTTTCGGAGAAGCCCTTATTCCTCGTACAACAAGGAATACAGGGCTCCCTGAAGAGCACGTTTGCTCTTCCATGAAAAAAACGGTATAAGAGCAAATGCATTCCCTGGATGCGTCAGGGTTTGTAGGGTGTCTTGCCAAGGGGGAGTGTGCAGGAGCGGTCTGAGGGGCTAGATGCGCTCGCCATCCCCTCCTCACTTTATACCCTCCAGGGAGGAGAAGAGCACCCCCTGAGCTGCCCTCCAACTGCTCTCCGACTGGCTATTACAGGAAATAATTTGTTTGAAGCTAGGGGGTTGTCTGTAAGTGAGAAGTGGCCTTTCCCCTAAGGCCTCTGAGAGTGAGGGGTCATTTTCTAGGATAGGTTGTAGGTTGTTGATAATGCGTTGGAGGGGTTTAAGTTGAGGACTGTAGGTGATCAGTGGAATACCAAGTGGAATACCATCTACATGTTTTGTTAGTCTTTACGGTGCTACTAGACTACATGTTGTATTTTAAGTTTTTCCTGTTACAGATTAACTCAGCTCCCCCTCTGAAACATTTAAAACATGTAGATGGTATCATGAGCTTTAATGGGGAAAACACACTTCTTCAGATGAGATAGAACATCTGAACTACAGAACTACAATGGGTGAGAACTGCTGGGAGCTCTTGCTAAGCAAGAGCAGAGCAGGTTCCTATGAGGAACTGAGGGGGTAATTGGCCAGCAGGGATATATATTAACCGATATAGCAACGCCACTCCAGGGGACTCCCCTGTTGGCCCGAGGGTGCTGCTGAGGGAAAAAACTTCCAATGACGCATGCATGTGACACGCGCACACCTACATGGAATGGAAATGAGCAACACATCTCGAAGAAGTAGTATTGGTCTGATAAAAATTATGGTTCCTCTAAAGGTAACAAGGCTAATAAGTAGAATCACAGAACACTAGAACTGGAACGGACCTTGAGAGGTCATCGAATCCAGTCCCCTGCCCTCACAGCAGGACCCAGCACCGTCTAGACCATCCCAGATAGATGTCTGTCTAACCTGCTCTTACATATCTCCAGAGATGGAGATTCTACAACCGCTCTAGGCAATATATTCCAGGGTTTAACCAACCACCCTGAGAGTCAGAAAGTTCTTCCTAACGTCCAACCTAAACCTCCTTTGCTGCAATTTAAGCCCATTGCTTCTTGTTCTATCCTCAGAGGGCAAGGAGAACAATTTTTCTCCCTTTTCCTTGTGACATCCTTTTAGATACATGAAAACCGCTATCATGTCCTCTCTGTCTTCTCCTTTCCAAACTAAACAAGCCCAATTCTTTCAGTCTTCCTTCATAGGTCATGTTCTCTAGACCTTTAATCATTCTTGTTGCTCTTCTCTGCATCTTCTCCAATTTCTCCACATCTTTCTTGTACTGTGGTACCCAGAACTGGACACAATACTCCAACTGAGTCCTAATCAGCGCAGAGTAAAGCAGAAGAATGACTTCTCGTGTGTTCCTCACAACACTCATGTTCATGCATCCCAAGATCATGTTTGCTTTTTTTGCAGAAGTGTCACATTGTTAACTCATCTTTAGCTTGTGGTCCACTATGACCCCTAGATCCATTTCTGCAGTACTGCTTCCTAGACAATCACTTCCCATTCTGTATGTGTTACATGGATTGTTCCTTCGTAAGTGGAGTACTTTGCATGTATCCTTACTAAACTTCATCCCATTTACCATAGACCATTCCTCCAGATAAAGATATTGAACAGAACTGATCCCAAAACAGACCCCTGCAAAACTCCACTTGTTATGCCCTTCCAGCATGATTGTGAACCATTAATAACTACTCTCTGAGAACGGTTATCCAGCCAGTTATGCACCCACCTTATAGTAGCCCCATCTAACTTATATTTTCCTAGTTTATTGATAAGAAGATCATGCGAGACTGTATCAAATGCCTTAGTAAAGACTAGGTATACCATGTCCACTGCTTCTCCCTTATCCACAAGACTTGTTATCCTATCAAAGAAAGCTATCCGATTGGTCTGACATGATTTGTTACAAATCCATGCTGGCTGTTACCTATCACGTTATTACCTTTCAGGTGTTTGCAGATGAATTTCTTAATTACTTGCTCCCTTATCTTTCCTGACACAGAAGTTAAACTGACTGGTCTGTAGTTTCCTGGGTTGTTCTTATTTCCCTTTTTATAGATGGGCACTAAATTTGCCATTTTCCAGTCTTCTGGAATATCTCAGGTCTTCCATGATTTTTCAAAGATGTCAAGTATCAGAGGGGTAGCCGTGTTAGTCTGAATCTGCAAAAGCGACGAGGAGTCCTGTGGCACCTTATAGACTAACTGAAGTGTAGGAGCATAAGCTTTCGTGGGCAAAGACCCACTTCGTCAGATGCATGTAGTGGAAATTTTCAGAGGCAGGTATAAATATGCAGGCCAGGATCAGGCTGGAGATGACGAGGTGGATCCAATCAGGGAGGATGAGGCCCACTTCTAGCAGCTGATCTGGAGGTGTGAATTCGAAGAGAGCAGAAGCTGCTTTTGTAGTTAGCGAGCCATTCACAGTCTTTGTTTAATCCAGAGTTGATTGTGTCAAACTTGAAGATGAACTGTAGCTCAGCAGTGTCTCTTTGAAGTCTGGTCCTGAAGTTTTTTGCTGCAGGATGGCTACCTTGAGATCTGCAATTGTGTGTCCAGGAAGATTGAAGTGTTCCCCTACAGGTTTTTGTATGTTGCCATTCCTAATATCAGTTTTGTGTCCATTGATTCTTTTACATAGGGACTGTCCAGTTTAGCCGATGTATATAGCAGTGGGGCATTGTTGGCACATGATGGCAATTGTTGGTGTTGCTGAATGCTTGTTGAAGATCTTGTAGGTGTAGGTCCCTGTCTGAGGGGTTGGAGCATATGCGGTTGTACCTCAGTGCTTGGCTGAGTATACTTACCTCCTCGCTGTTTTTCAAAGATGACAGCTAAAGACTCAGATACCTCTTTTATCAGCTCTTTGAGCTGATAGAGGTGGTTTTGGCACCATATTCCTCCTTACCAATCCAGTTTGGGCATTCTATTCTTCCTTACCAATAGTATTTATTGTTATTATTTATTATTATTATTACTGCAAGTATTTAGGTGACACCTGCCTCTTCCTATTTCCAGTTCCTGTTCTAAATTGTTATGCACGAACTCTCAGTAGGAATGCCCCATCTCCCTCACTTTCCCTGGGTTGGAGCAGATTGCTGGGTGTAGGAAGGGTGAGGACTCTAATGGGGGAGAGGGGTACAGGTTCCAGGGTGGAGCCAGAAATAACGGGTTCAGTGCGCAGGAGCTGGGAGGGGGCTCTGGGCTGGATCAGGGGGTTGACATGCGGTGGGGGGATGTAAGGGCTGTGGTTGGGGATTCAGGCTCTGGGGTGGTGCCAGGGAGGAGAGGTTTGGAGAGCAGTAGGGGGCTCCAGGCTGGGTAGTGGTGCCAAAAGATTCAGACTGTGGGAAGAGGATGCAGGTTGACACAGGGGGTTGGAATGCAGGAGGGGTCACGGGGTTCTGGGGTGGGGCTGCGTATTGAGGGATTTAGGCAGCTCAGGATTTGGGATGGGCAGAGGCTTGGGGGCTCAGAGTTGGGGAATGGACCTCTCCCAGACATCTCCTGGCCAGTGTCACAGCAGTGCTAAGGCATGCTCTGCCCTGCACTCTGGAAGAGGCAGCAGATCTGGCTCTTAGGCAGGGGGATAGGCGGCTCTGCATGCTGCTCTCACCAGCATGCACCATTTCTGCAGTCCCATTGGCTGTGGTTCCTGGGGTGCAGCACAGAGACGGGACAAGTGGGCTCTAGCCTACCTTAGCCCCACAGCACGGCTGACTGGACTTCTAATGGCCTGGTCGGTGGTGCTAACCAGAGCTGCCAGGGTCCCTTTTCGACTGGGCACTTGGGTTGAAAACCAGACACCTGGCAAGTCTAACTCTCAGGACACTGATTAGGTGTCCCCAAAACTCATGAACTTCTTGCCCCAAAATCTTATGAAAACACCCGCCAGCCTTCCAATTCCCTGCTCTTTAGCTAGCATAGGTAATGGAAGTCAGACATGAACTGAGGAGAGTGAAACGTGTAGAAATCATGGGGGTTTTATTCATTGTTACATTTGTGATGGAACTACAGAAAATGGGGTTACACTGAGAAGTGATTCTTCAAGAGCTGTTTGAAAAAGCAAGAGTGGGTTTGCAATAAGCATTCCAGATGTTAGAGGGAAGGTATAAGGCATGGAAATAAGCAGAAAATCACTATAACAGAAGAGGTCATTCAGCATTTTAGAATAGAGGACTCTGGGGAACTTTCCCACACTGTACCACACTGAACCACAAGAGGTTCACAGTATTTATCTAACCTCCCTGAAATGTGGGATCTGATTTCTCAGAGACTCTTGCTTCCCCAGAGATCTGCACACACCAGGCATTTGCATGTTTATTTTTTTCAGCTCCTGTTCAGAGGGGAGAATACAGTGCATGTGTGTTTCCTTCTCTCAGGGAAGGCGATAAACGCACAGAATGTTTTGTGGGGGAGTATCTGATTAATAGGGAAGGTTACAGGACACAGGTGAGAAAAGGTCTGAGCTGGTTCCAGGATTTCTTATCCTGTCAGTAGAAAGCAATCTTGTCGAGTTTCCTTGGGTGGTGTCATTATGGCTGTCCTCCATGGCTCCTCTCAATCTCCAGCTTGGGAAGCGTCCCACCTGACAGAGGTGGAAGAGCAAGAACTTGCTCCTGCCCTTGGGTTTGGTCACGAAGGCATTTGATTTCCAGCCGTTGCATTTCTATGATTCTCTCTGTTTCCTCCCCTACATTCAACCTCAGGACATTGGGACTAGGCAGCAGTTCTCTGGAAGGAACTAGAGAAAACAGTATAAAGCATATAACAAGGTGGGGTCCAGCAAGGCAGGCTCTATTAACTCTTGAAGAAGAGCTAGTGGGGTTACTAAGTGGACTGTGGGCCAAATCTGAACCACCAGATGCTTTTGAACAGACCCCAAAATCTTTTTATTTGCTTATCATTATGGTTCTTTTGTTATTATTTTCTCTAGAGTCTGGACCTTGACCATACCTTAATCAAGAAATCTGGACCTTGACAAAAAAGAATTGACTATCCCTAGGTGCATCTCTTGACACAGGAAAGAGGGAGCAAAAGGAGAAAGCTGTGAAGTGCTCAATCAGAGGGTTGCACATTGTATAGCCGAATACAGACTGACTACTGTGCATCATATAAGAATCTTCTAGGCAACCACAGAATTTAATGACAAATAACAGTCAAAGGAATAGAAGCGCACATGCTGGCAAAGGGAGACAAGAGCCTGTAAGATGAGAGCTGAGAATATGAAGAGATGCAGGTAGAACGCTAATAATCACCTGTGTCTGGGATCCCTTGCTTCTTGTTTTTCCGGTTCAATCCTAGTGCTGACTGGAGATCATGCACCTGGGTGCGGGTCACCTTCAGTTCCCTCCGCAATTCGTTAATTTCCTTAATCAGGCTCACGTTTTCCTGTAGCAACAATATGTTCGGATTTTCAGTGGACATATTTGTATCACTGTGAGAAAGAGCACTAGGTACCAGCTGGTAGGATGACCAGATGTCCTATTTTATAGGGACAGTCCCAATATTTGAGGCTCTGTCTTACAGAGGTGCTGATAACCCCAACCCCAGTCCCAATTTTTCACACTTGCTATCTGGTCACCCTACATCTCGGTCAATAGTGGTAGCACCATATCCATGGGAGATGGAATACTGGATATCACAAGAGTAAGAGCTGTAATAAACATAGGGATTGCTGTACGGACCTGAGTCATCTAATTTAGTAAATTAGTAAATTACCAGGACCAGATGGCATTTTTTTTCTTGAAATGTGTATTATTTTGCATTTATGAACAATTATTTCATTTGCCATTGTAGTGCCCACTCACCTGTGTTATTTAGATCTAATGTTCCTCATCGTTCTGTCTGATCGTGACTAACTTAATTAGCATTGTAGAATCTGCAAATTTTGTTACCTCACTACTCAACTCCTCCTTTCAAACTCATTAATAAATATATTAAACACAGGGCCTCCTTTGGAAGCTTGAGACACCTGGTTTTAACCTTTTGCCATGATGAAATCATTCATATTCTTTGTTTCCTTCTCTTGGCCAGGTTTTGATCAGTGACAATACTTTCCTTCTTACCCTTTTGACGACTAAGTATCTTTTGTAGCCTCTTGTAAGGCATATTGTTAAGATCTTTTTGAAAATGTAAATAAATATCAACTGATTCCTCTTTATTCACTTCTCTATTGACCCAGTCAAAGGATTCAATAGCAATAATACGTGCCTGGCGCTGTATAAAAAAGATGGCAAATTTGTCAAGAATGATATAAAAAGGGAGATATGTTCTGAATTCAGAAAGAAGCAGGATGATGGATTCACATATTTCATTGATAATGGAATACTTCCTGTTCCATTTCTAACAAGGGAAGTTATTACCCAGCAACTATTAAAGGTAAACATTTTTTAAATTAGCAGGACTGCATAACTTGCACTCAAGGATATTTAAAGAATTGTCAAAGGAGCTCTATCAACCATTAGTGCTATTTTAAACAAAACTTGGACCACTGGGGGAAGTTCCAGAAGGTGGTTAAAAAGTTACCAGTAGGCAATCTTTATAAGAAGAAAATGTCCCAAAGGTGAGGCTTGGCTGGTTAGCCTGACATCTAGTAAATAATGTAAATCATGTACAATATGCTCTGGGACACAACCAGTAAAAAATACGGGGGATAATATAAACAGGTCAGAACAGACCACTGTGACATCTAGTCTGACCTCCTGTATAGCACAGGCCAGAGACCTGCCCCCAAATAATTCCTAGACCAGAACTTTTAGAAAAACATCAAATCTTGACTTAAAAATGATCAGTAATGGAGAATCCACCATGCCCCTTGGCAAGTTGGTCCAATGGTGAATTACTCTCACTATTAACATTTACACCTTTTTTCCAGTCTGAATTTGGCTAGCTTCATTTTCAAGCCATTAGATCATGTTAGACCTTTCTCTGCTAAAACAAGGAGGAGTCCTGGCACACCTTAGGGTATGTCTACACTTCAGCGCTAATTCGAACTAACTTAATTAGTTAATTCAAAATAAGATCATTCTATTTAGTGCATCTAGACCTAAAAACTAATTCAAATTAGTGTTTTGCTAATTCGAAATAGCACGTCCACATTGAGTAGACCCTGAATCGAAGGTAAGGCTGGCTGGAACCAGTGCCGGCAGGGCATCAGGGTCGGACTTAGTGTGTGGGGCCGCTGCCTCAGGCTAGCCGAGGGCTGTGCTTAAAGGGACCTGACCCCCCATTTCGGACAGACAGTTCTCAGGTTTCTCTGCTTGCTGGTCTACCTCGCTGAGGGACAGCAAAGCATTTGTGTCTCGGAGTGCTCTGCTTGCCCTCACTCAGGGCACCACGGCACTCTGCAACATGGAACCAGACCTGCCCCCGGGGACTCTGCTGCATCTCGTGGACACGTTGCCAGCAGCCTGGCTGCACTGTCTGCAGGCTGCCATCCGGGAGGACCATCGAGGGGATGTCAGGATCCAGGGGGCCCTGCAGGAGAGCTTCCACCCTGAGGAGTGCTAACAGTCTCCCCGGTCTGCCCCACTGGGGGCTTGTGCCCCATTCCTCCCTCTCGTCCTTCCACTTACCCTTCCTTAGCCCCCTCTTCCTGATGTCAAATAAAAGATACGTATTTTCAAATATAACAACTCTCTTTATTTAACACAACTGGGGGGGGGGAGAAACTGGGACTGGGGCAGGGAATGAAACTCTGGGGAGACTGGGAAAAGGAGGTGGGAGAGGAGAGGAGAGAGGGTGGGAGAGGAGAGGGGGAAACCTGGAAGGGGGAGGAAGGAAGGAGGAAGCAAGGGGAAGAAGAGGGAGGGGAAGCTCAGGGCTCAGGGTTGGGGGTTGATTGTCATGCAAACCTGCTCCTGGGTTCGCATGTGGCCTTTGGTGGCCAGGCTGGCAGCTATCCTGCCATAGATGGCTTCATTCCTCCATCTAGTGTGGAGATCATGGATGTTGGGGGCATCCCCCCCAAACCTGAATAAGGTCCATGATCTCCACCCTGGACCAGGAAGGCTCTCGCCTTCTCCGGGCCCTAGCAGGCTTCTGGGAGCTGGCAGACTGCTCCTGGGGAGCAGTGGAGTCTAGCTGCCAGTGGCTTCCTGGGCTTTATTTCTCTAGTACCCTTGG